GGGAAATATATAGAGGAGAGATGTAAGAGGAGAGAGGATTCTGTGTCTGGTCGCGGAAGGAGGCACACGCGCGTATGTGCGTGTGCGCGTGTCTTTGTCTCTTTGTGCGATGTGTCTACACTGTATGAGTTATTAAGGATTATTCCGGGTACAACACAAGTTTGGTTTTGTATCATCATTCCTGTTTACATTAGTTTACTAGTATAAGTAGTTATACATAACTTACTATATAGTATTACTTATATATAGCCGATATATAGGTCTATTTATATATAACCTATATTGTCTATATATAACCTATATATATGGTCTATATATAACATACTATATAGTATTACTTATATATAGCCGATATATAGGTCTATTTATATATAACCTATATTGTCTATATTTAATATATATATATGGTCTATATATGATCATTACTGCTCGTGTTTAAATGATATACGTTAGCGATTGGCGCAGGTCTGTGCAACGACTCAAAAATTATAGTTTCTCTGAAAAGTTTCCGCAGACTATAGGCCTACATCGCGTATATGTATTTCTTCAATGTATTCCTCGTTGTCTGTAAATATATGGTTGTTTGAATTACCTTGCACGTTAGTGTACGTCGTTCGTCGATCGATTCAAAATTTCTCACATTAACCACACTAAATGTTTCCTCTTCTGTCACTGCCGTCGTGAAGGTAGATTCTTTTATTAGTATAGTAATATTATGAATATTAATGTTATTATTGTGTAAATTATTGTATAACGCACGTTTTGTACATATAGAGGTCATAAACATTATATATTATATGGTGTAGATGGTCAAAGGCATCTACAAAAAGACAGTCTTTATATAGCCTATCTAAAAGTAAATATAAGACCGTTCTTGTGTATATACCCTTTAAATGGTATGTATGTTGTAAAATTGTATTTTTAATATATTATGTGGTATTTCCGTGATCATATCACTCGATTTTTTACTTATCGTTCTCTTGCCAATGTTTGTTCCTGTTAGCAGAATAATGCCGTCAACGTGAGTTTCGCATGATAATTGAAAAATTTACAGGATTTTTACTCGCAAGAGATTACAACACTTTTCAATAGTTTGACAACCTTTATTACGGTTTTAATGAAAAATATATGTGAGCCTATAATCAAAGATACATGCAGAGATACACATCTTATAACAGAAATAGCTTATAGTGAAATGACAATGTGTAATTGATATGCAACACAACAAGAAATATCCGTTATTCCAGCATTCGTCAGCAATTGCGGATTAGATAGCCATTTGCTTAATTTTTTTTTAAAGATGAACGCAAAGATAAGCTTTATTTTGACGATGTGTGAACTAATTCTGTTTTAAAAACTTCGGCAGTAAAAAACAGTGTTTACCAAATGATCGCGTTTACACGATGAAATTCGATGGGAAATGTTTTAGTCACCAAAGTGCGCCATAGTCGGTCTGTTTGTATCCAAAACCCTAGTTTTTCTTCACAGCGTAATGGCTAAAATAAAAGAATTTCAGGCTGAAGGATGCGGAGGCAGGTCATACCATGATGCCCGCATCTCGTTGAAAATTGCGCAGTTCCAATACGGAAACGTAAACACAAAAGAAGAACAACTGATGCCACAATGTCACGTAGGCTAGTTTACGACGCCAGGTTGCCATAAGAGAAAAAACGAACTAACGAAACCCGCAGTCATAAATATTGACCAATACGCTCTTGTATTGACGTATCTATCAATCTATCTATCTAGCTATATATATATATATATATATATATATATATATATATTTA